AGAGAATGAACAAAAGAGATTGATGCGAAATCAATAGGCTCGCGAGCGTCGTGCCCGAATTAAAGAAGAGAAGAGGATGAGTATGATTTTATCTGAATAAAAAGCGAAAAGCCCAACGAAGTTGGGCGTGCGTGGCGCAGCCACATTAGGTTCTTCCAGAAGATTCTTGGATGGGCACGGGGACATTGGTTTTCAGTTTGTGTTTAGCGCTTTGAAGATGTCTGGAGTACGCTCTACGCGTCCTGTAGTCCGATGGCCACTCCTGCCAGTTGTCGGCTAGTACTCGCCGCAGCAGTCACGCACAAGGCCAAGTGCCATCAAATTGACATCCCAAATGCCTTCATTCAGGGCGCGGAGCGCAATATGTTTATCAATCCGATCTACCGACAGGCCTTGTCCTATCTCAGGCCATACACAGAACGAGCGGTTCATTATTCGGGATTCGGACAAATGATAATTGAGGGGGTTGAACGATGGCCGAACAAATATCTGACGCTGCGTTCGGCATATTCCGGGCCACTGTGGAAGAAGCTGAGAGCACTTCGCCGTACGAAGTCGGGGTCGGCGATCTCGAAAAGTCACTCCATGTCAAGCGAGAGGCAGCAGAAGTCGAACACGCCACGGTGGGCGCGTCGCGCGGCGCTGGGGGGCGGGGAACAGAGATCTCAGCTTCTGCGCTTTCCCCCACGAGACGGACTGAAGTTTCAGGATCTCTGACCCCAAGTTCCTACGGCGAACTACTCTCGTTTTCTTCCCCTGTGAACCATAATATGCCCAACGCAGCGTCAGAGATCGTTGGACCATGCTCGAAACTCAGACGTCTGAAGTCTCGTCCGACCAATGGGATCAGCGGATTGGATTCTTGGATGATATATTTCGTTCTCTACATTGCATGAATTCTTGGCATGCACAACACAAAAAGATAAATTTAGCTGACAGGAAGAAATATCGCATTGGTCTACGTCTCCCAAACTCGAGGATTATTTCCTGACTCTTCCTCGACTTCCCCTCCAGGTCTACTCCCTTCCTTCTACTCCAGGGACCATAGGCTCAGCCTACTGAGCCCTTTCTATTCCACGTTAAGACAGTATAGAGTAACCCTCTCCTGTTGGGAATCCGGGCTGCTTAGCAGCCCCGTCTCACTTTTCCATTTTCAGTCTAGGTCAGGAACACTGCCATTTCCCCTCAAGTCCTCTCTGTCTCTCTACATACCCAGCTCCTAATCCAATTATTATTATTATCCCACATCATTACATATCTTGTATCATTCCTTGATATTCTATATCCTATATCAATCATTCCTTCATGCGATTTAAGCGCTGTCTTGCCTACGAACAACGCCACAGACATGAATCCATGCTGCAAGGTCGCGACCATAAGCGCTGGTCTTTTTTTTGCATTCATTTTCGCCATGATGATACCGGCGAATGTTGCGAAGTTTGCGAAGGAGATTTTTCGTAGCGGTCTTCGTCAGGGAAAAATCAGCGACAAAGTATCTCGCCGCGCTGCCTACGACGACACTCTTTTGAAAATGAACTACGCCGGACTCTTTGCAGCACCCAGTTTTTCCGGGATTCCCTGCTACATGGAGCCCTATATGCTGGCAGTAGGTGTCCCTGCCGACATGTCTGATTTGTCATATATGGTGACATTCACCGATGATTATGACTCCGCAGGGATGGATTGGCCGTCGCGCCAAAATGTGTTCGAAAGCCCCGATATACCGATGATTGCGTGGACGGATTGCCTGCTACAAGTAACTCCATTTGCCGCGGTTGGGCTTTGCGCCAGACTGCTTCAATGTGTTCCTTCCGAATGCATTTTCACCGATTTGCTTGCGCCTGACTTGATGACAGATCCATGTGTGCAACTTTCCAATTGGACCAGTTGTGATTGCTTTATCGCTGGTCTGCCCTCCTTTGCCTGGCAAGGAATTCCAGATAAGTTGAATGCCGATGAAGAAATTGCAGTCATTTTGCGAGTTTATAGCCAGAACGGCATTCATTGGCTCACTGCTGGGCTAGACTACAATGGCTGGATGGTCGATCTAGCAGGTGCAGGGATTCCCGGCGCGGTGCATAACCCTGCTTACATCTACAACACACCCACAACAGTGTTTGCTAAGACATGGTGTGTAACAACCTATACCATAAAAGAATGCTGGTCTGTCTACATCGGAGAAGACTTGGAGACGCCCGCCCATATTTTGGCACCGGTGCATTCAATCCTTATTGCGCTTGCTTTCTTGGGGGCTGATCTCTTGACTTTCATGGGCCTCTTTGCTGTCACTGCGAGTACTACGAAGGTAGGCCCTGCTAAATAAAATAAAATTGCTACATGAATGACCTCAGTGCTGGAGTATTTGGCGCCCCGGGATAGGTCCCCGGTTCGCATGGCTTGATATCAAATCGAGAAAACCGATGGCAACAGGCTTCTGGCTATGGTGAGAGATGCCTTTGGAAAGCTTGATCTCTGCCCCATGGGCCTCGATCTGGAAATTTTTTGTTGGATCGCCATCCGACTGGCAGTCACCTGAGATCTCCACTTGCGACGTAAAGCCGGCTATCGAACGCGGGAAATCCGAGGCGTTCTCCCGCAGGGGGATATGGTATCCGCCGTTCAACCCCCGTGCGGGGGTAAATTGGCGGGGGATACGGGGCGGATACAATATGATATCACCTTCAATTTGCCTTGGCTGATGTCTATCAGTATAGAGCTCCTTTTTTACTGACCTGAGTAGACCACGCCCCTCCCCTGCGGAGAGAGACGTGCGAGAAGCTACTAGGATAGCTTAGGCTACCCTCGAGCCAATGGGGGGGCGCCTCAGTAAAAGCGACGCGAGTTGCAGCGCGTTGGCCGCCGCGCGGCCCTCGGATGCAAATTTGCTCGGCGGGAGCGAGACGGGCGTGGGCGACAATGCCTTGGGCGCCGGTGCGGCGGCGGCGTCCGACGAAGACGGCGCGGGCCGACGGTTTTTCGCTTCCGGCGCTTCGGTCGGGCTGGGCGCGGCCCGCGAACCGGTTTCCCGGTGTTTCCCGGACGCGAAACGCGGCTCGGGGCCGCGCATGGACGGTCGCCCCCGGGGGCGCCGGGGCGCGGGTTGCGGAAAGTTGCGGAAGTTTGGGTTTGGAAGGAAATCGTGCGACGTGCGCGCTCTCGGGGAAATCGTCGAACTCGGGGGTTCAGGAGGGTAGTAGAGGGGCGGGGACCGCTTCACGGGGCGCGGGGAAAGCCCTTGTCGGAGCTGGGACCGTTTGCTCATGACCGTGTTCGCCTAGGTGCAGCGGTTGCGCGCGGAACACCCGCCGGGCGGGATTCGGCGGAGCCCTCGGGCGGCAGCGCGGCCCTCCTGGACGTCAACGGGCTCCTCGGCGCGCCGCGCGTCGTCGCCGCGCCGGGCACGCCGCCGCGGAGCTCGATCGGCGGCGGCACGCCGGCGGGGAAGGAGCGGGGCTCCGCGCGGAAGTTCGCGTCGGGCGGCGGCGCGATCCGCGGGTCGCGGTCGCGGGCTCGGTCCCGGTCCCGGGGCCGATCGCCGTCGGCGAGCACGCCACGGCGCCTGAGCTCCGCGCCCGACAAGGAGAACTCGTCGCCGCCCGCGCGCGGTCCGGGCGAGCGGCCCGCGGCGCCTGAGGCGCTGCCCGAGGCCTCGGGCGCGGCCGTGAAGCGGCCCCGCGGCTTCTTCGACATGCTGTGGGGCGTCTTTCGGCCTGAGAAGCGATCTGCTACGGGATCTGCGTCGGCGACGGCCCCGGCGTCCGCGCGGCCGCCGCCGACCGTCTCGGCGCCGGCGCAGGCGCCGCGGCCGCGGCCAATGCCCGAGGCCTTCTACGGCCGGGCCGTCCGCACGCCGTGCGACGCGGAGCTCTTCGTCTAAGGCCTCTTGCGGGTGCGCGACGTGCTCGCGGCGGCCCCGGCGTTGGGGACGACGCGGCAGCGCCGCGGCGTTGACGACCAGCTGACGGCGCGGCTTCTGACGACTCCCTTTCCCAAGTCCATCCCCGTGTCCTACTGTTCTTCGGGGGCTCTTTCGTCACGCCTGTGCCCTCGCAGGTCGGCCGTCGGAGTCGGCGTGGCCTTGGCGCGACGCGCGGAGAAGATCGCGGATCTGCTCGACGTCGTGCAGGCCATGCGGCTCCGCGACATCCTCACGGGGAACACGAAGCACGTCATCGACGAGGCCGCGCTGCCGCCGTCGCCGGCCGCCCTCTACTACTTCCTCGACGACCAGGACTCGCAGCGCGGCTCGAAGTGGAACCCGAAGGGCGTCGGCCGGCCGCGCTTCAACGCGTTCAACCGGCAGGTCACCGAGCTCCTCCGCGACCCCTTCGTCGTCGCGAACATGCTCGCGGCGCTGAAGATGGTGTCGGACCGCGGGCCCGTCGTCGAGTCGGCGCCCGACAGCGGCGACCCGGCGCGCGCGCCGCGCGGCCGGCCGCCGAAGCGGCGGCTCGAGACGGAGGACCCGGCCATGAAGCTCATGCAGGAGCAGGTGGAGCGGGCGGAGGCCAAGAACGCGGCCCTCGAGAAGGAGAAGGCGGCCCTCGCGGAGGAGCTGCGGGATGCCGAGGCGACGGCGGCGGCCAAGGCCGACGGGATTTCGTCGGTCACGCTCGACGCGGCGTTGAAGGCCATCCGCGACGCGCTGGACCGCGCCAAGCTCCAGTCCGAGCAGGCGTCGCGCAACATCGACTTAATCGTCGGCGTCGACAGCAGCGACCTCTCGATGGCCGAGCTGGGCGTGCTGAGCAAGGTCGGCGACCTAGTGCACCTGAGCGCGGAGGTATTGGACGCGGCCGTCGCGTCCGCGCCGGGCCTGGCGCAGCAGCTCGACGAGCTCGTGGCGACGCCCCGGGCGAAGCCGGAGCTCGCGCTGATCAAGCGCCGGCGCGTGTTTCTCAAGCTCCTCGAGGTCGCGAAGGTCAGGAGGACCAAGGGCGGCGTCGAGAACGTGCTACCGCGGCACGCGGCCGTCACGGCCATGGCGACCGGGGCGACGGCCGCGAGCGTCGAGACGCGGCGCGGGTGCATGGGCGACACCATCTCCTTCGCGGAGACGTGGCGCTTCTTGACGGTGGCGGGGCGCCTCGCCAAGGTCGCGTACCCGGGCCTCTTTCCGGGCCGGCGAGTCGCCTTCGCCGACGACAACGCGCAGTGGACGCGCCTCTGGGCGCAGCAGCGCCTGGAGCACTTCAATTCGTTCGAGACCAACCCGCTGCTCCAGTCGTGGTTCGCGATCGTGTGGCCGCTCCAGACGCTGCCGCTGGAGAAGACGCTCCGCGAGCTCGGCGTGCGCTCGAAGCCCTTCGTCGAGGTCCGCGCGGCCGACTTCGACATCGACGCCCACTCCCAGTCCTGGCTCGCCAAGGAGCTCGCGGTGCTGAGCGTCGACGGCGGCTACGGCCGCGACCTCCTGAAGCGCACGCTCTACAAGCTCGTCTGGCGCCACGACCCGGGCGCGTTCCCGCCGGCGGTCTTCAAGAAGCCGCGGTGGACCGACGCCTACAAGTACCGGCCGGAGGGCCCGCTCCAGCTCGAGGAGGACTGGAAGAAGGACGACGTCAAGTCCCTCGAGGTCCAGCTCAAGAACACGCAGAAGGTGCCCGAGGTCGCCGAGGCGCGCCTCCAGGTGCTCGACTGGTTCGGCATCGGCTGCGGCGACCCGGGCAAGGACTGGGTGATCTGCGTCGGCGACTACGTCCTCTACAGGAACGGCACGAACGCGGCAGGCATGACGGTCGCCGATTTATCGCGGCTCCAGGACAAGCGCGTCGTGCGGACGACGGCGCAGCTCGTCGCGCTCGAGGCCGCGGAGACGGCGGCGGCGACGCCGCTGGCCGGGCCGACGGGCGACGCCGCGGCGGCGTCGACGACGGTCTCGGCGCAGCCTGCGGCGGCGACGCGGTCGACGGCGGTCCCGGCGACGTCGACGGCCGCGACCGTCGCGGCGACGTCGACGGCCGTCGAGGACGGGCCCTCGCCACGGGAGTCGCTCGACGCCTTCTTGGCGACGAACCCGAGCTCCAAGCAGGTCCAAGAGGCCTGCATGGCCTGGGGCTTTGGGAGGAACGAGGACGTCACGCAGTACAAGCGCGCGGCGAAGCTCGATCACGGCACGGGCATGACGATCTGCCGCCTCGCGAGGCTCAACGGCATCAACCTCCTCAAGTACCTCGTCGAGAACATCGACGAGCTTTGCTTCGCGAGCCGCGACTACTCGCCCCTCGTCGTCCCGCCGGACATCGCCGCCACGGCGGAGAGCTTGGAGCCCGCGCGCAAGAGCCGGCCGACGGCGTCGTACCGGCCGGCGACGCCGTCGTTCGGGCTCTAGCCGCCCGTGGACCCGCAGCCCGCGCAGTCCGGGCGGCTGCCGCGCGCCTGCACGCTGCGCGATGCGTCGGCGCGCGGCGGCGACGGCGGCGACGGTCTGGACCGCTTCGAAGAGGCCGGCGACGACGACGTCGACGAGGCATGCTACGTCTGCGGGGACGCGCTCGGCATCGTCGAGTCGCACGTCTTCTGCGTCGGCTGCGGTCAAAAGGCGCACGTGAACTGCGTCGGCCAGCGGTCGCGGGGCGACCACCTCTGCGACGAGTGCGCGGAGACGCCGTGGCGGGCGCCGCCGCGGCCGACGTCGACCCTGCTCAGCATGCGCGTCATCCGCAAGATGGTGGACGACGACGTCCAGCTGACAGTGCTTCGGGAGAACCCCAAGGGCGGCAAGAGCCGCGACCGCTACGAGGCCTACAAGGTCGCGACGTCGGCCGCGGAGTTCCAGAGGCTCGGCGGCTCCGCGGAAGACCTCCGCAACGACCTCGTGCGAGGCTACGTCACCCTCGGCGGCGAGGCCGCGAAGGATCCGTGCGTCCTCGCGGCCCTATTGCCCGCGACGGGAGCCGCCGCTCCACGGCCGCGCGGCGAGGCCCGCGCGGTCGCGAGGCCCGAGCTGGCGCCGCGGCCGACGACGGCGTCCGACGGGGCGTTCCAGTCCTGCCTCCGCGCGATCAAGGCCCAGGGGCTGCAGCCGGGCACATCGTCGGCGCCCGACGACTGGGACCCGCTGCGGGGCCTCGAGCACGTCCTCGGCGACGCGACCTGCGGGCTGCCGCTCCGCACGTCGTACCGGGCGGAAGCCGCCGCGATCCGCGCCGCGGCGACGCCCGCGCAGCGGCGCGCGTTCGCCGGGCGGTGGCTCGACATCGTCGACGACCGGGCCAAGGTCTTAGTCGAGCGCTCCGGACCGCGGGCGTGCGGCGCGCTCGTGAGCTTCCGGGCCCACGTCCTCGAGGGCCTCGGCGACGCGAATTTGGACGCCGCGGGCCGCGCGGACGTCGACGCGTGCGCGCGCCTCATCCAGGGCCACATCGACGAGAACTGGGCCAAGGCGCGACGGCTCGACGACCTCGCGACGCGCATCGCCGCGGCGCGCCTCGCGGCCGACGACGGCGGAGGCGCGACGGCCGCGGACCGGCGCGGCGACGACGGCGGCGACGACGACGTCGGCCGCGCGGACGGCCGCGGCGACGGCGACGGCGGCTTCGACGCCGCCTACCCCGAGCTCCTTCGGATCCACAATCTGCCGGGGTTCTGGCACCTCCTGGAGGCCGGCGGAATCAAGGTGATCTTCAAGCTCTACTACAAGTCGCTCCTGGGACGCTGCGCCCACGACGTGCTCAAGCGCAAGGGCATCACCATCAAGGCGGCCAAGTTTTTACAGGCCACGGAGCTCTTCTACCACGTCTGGGAGGCCATGGCCACCGCCCTGTTCCGCGCGCACCGGAAGAGCCAGACGTTCCGCGAGTCGCCCGTCGACCTCGCCACGCCGGAGCTGTACATGGACAACTTCCTCGAGTGGTACCGCGCGAAGCGGGGCACGGGCGACGTGCCCTTCGTCCACTACGGTGGGTTCGTCTTCGGCATGGGCATCTACTTCCGCTTCTGCAAGAAGAGCATCAGCCTCAAGCTGCCCATGCTCACGTTCGCGCTCCAGCTCATCCACCTCGGCGCCTGCGACATCACGAACAAGTACAACCTCAAGCGCCAGTGCTTCTACAGCCTCGTCAACTTCCTGACGAGCTCGGAGGACGTCGCGAAGGGCTTGCTCGCGGCGTCCACGGTGAGCCTGAGCGGCCGGCAGCACCACGCGGTCTCGTCGGACGCCGCGCAGGAGATCAAGCAGGGCGAGATCCAGAAGAGCATGGGCCCCAAGTTCGGCGTGGCCAAGGTGCTGATCCACTCGGCGCTCAACGACCTGCTCTCGGGCGTCGCGAAGTCGTTCGCGGCCATCGCGACGGGCGACGCGTCGGCGGCCGCGGCCGGCGGGCGGTCGAAGAACGCGCAGGCCGACATCGCCGCCCTCGTCGCCCACTTCGAGGCGCACGACATCTTCAACTACGAGGGCCCGGCGCGGACGTCGCTCCCCGCGGGCCTGACCTCCAAGGACTACGCGCTCCCCAAGGGCTACGTGGCGCCCCTGGACTTCACCGCGCCGCTCGACAGGCAGCACCAGCCCGTGCTCGAGCGGGCCTTCGTCGCGGCCACGGAGCTCCTCACGCAGGCCGGCCTCCACCAGGCCGACGAGCCCGTCGAGCTCGCCGTGCCGGCGCTCCGGGACGACGACGACCTCTCCGCGGATGGCGACGAGTCCGTCTCCTCCCAGTACTCCGACGCCGAGCCCGAGGTCGACGAGTCCGACTCGGACGACGACGACGCCCGGCTCCGCGCCGACGCCGAGGCGCGCGAGGCGGGGGATTAGCGTCTATTTTCTTCACCTGTGCCAATCCAGATACGCCCGTGGGATACGCGAGAGCCGGTCTTTGGCGTATCTGGATACGCGAGGATGGCCATCCAGGTCGATCTTCGGCGTATCTAGATACGGCGAGGCCACGGGGAGCGCGTATCCAGGGCGTATCCGGGCCAGGGCGGGCCCGCGCCATACGGTATCCGCCCCGTATCCCCCGCCGCGGGCCGCGGATAGCGACGCGGGACGCTCCGGTAGCCCGGGCGCCTGCTCGGTACACCAGCACAGCGCTCCTCTGTGTCTGTGGTGTCTGTCTGGTTAGCGTCACAGCGACGTGCCAGGTAGCACCAGGCTCAGCGAGGTTGCACAGTCGCCGGACAGTGCACCTGCTGGATAGTAGCCTGACTGACGTCATAGTGACGTTAGGAAGCTAGTAAACTATCCTAACTTTCTAGGTGTGGGCCGACGCTCGGCCTCCTGTGAAGCCTCGCTTCATTCTTTTCTCTTCTCTTTACCCGCTTCGCGCTCTTTTCTCTTCGCTTTCGCCTCCGCGCTTGCTTTGAGGGGGAGGTAACAATATATCCCAGGGATTAATAATTTCGCCCGGGGAGACGGTCCCCGGTTCCCTTCAGATAGGGTGTCTAACGTCCATGGGGGTTACACAAGGCGGGGGATATGGGGCGGATTCCATATGTATCGTCCTGTGTATGCTTGGAGCGGCGGAACTATGCTCCGCCGCCTCGCTAGCGGCAGAATGGCGGGGTGTGCTTATCAGACCTTGCGTGATGGCAATAAGGATGATTCCGAGCGATAAGAGGTCATAAAGAATTGAGCGTGAGTCTGCCTATGGTGCTCCTGCGAAATATTGATTAAGCACACTACCGGCCCACGTAGCAAAGTAATGTGATCAGAGAGCACGCCTAATGCGGCTGTATCGGTTTTGCCAGCTGACGAAGTAACCCTCACAAACGGCGTGGGTCAGTTGACATCTGGCCCACCCACAATGTTTAGGCGACAAACAAAAATACGGTCGTCTGGTTGCTGTCCGATGTGGCTTAAGACTTCTCGAAGGGGAGTGGCCCAGCATGTTGGATTGAAGTTGCCTCCAAACGCATACCTGGGGATGGCTTAGTGATAGACAAGCGCCATCTTTTGCAACCAGGCGCTCCTGATCAACTTTATACAAGCTCCACTAGACATGTCTTCCATATTTGTCTCAAAGTGCTACCACAACTTTATTATCTCACCTTTCAATTCTTTTCTCGGATTGGTCTACAGAAAGTATGGCTTCTGTGTCCACCACAACTACACAGAAAGATCAGAATCATTAATAAAATCTCTCGTGAGCTGCGCAGCAGGAATTTCCAAAACATGCATCCCATAATAGTATTCTGGCAGTTAGTTGACAAGAACCTCGAGTGTTTGAAGCACCATTGCCTATTTGTTATTCAAATTTGCAATTCACCTTGTCTACATACTGAAAGTAACGGCGAACTGTTCTCTTGGTTTAAAGCTCGAATTTGTTTCAACCTTCCGCATTTGTTGTCATCTCGTAAGGGAAATATCACTGGACCTCATCCATTCATAGAGTCTTCAGTTCCAAAGGCCAAAAGTCAGCGGTGGCAGTTCTGAGGTACCTTGAGACACAAAATCTCCCCAGAGCTGCACAAAATGCAGAATACTGGCACCGTAGAAGGCAAGGTGGTTGAATTGCAGTTTTATTTACCAGGTGTTGCCCGAAATGGGCCACAAGCACATGTGAAAAACGGGCGCTGAAGTTAACATGAAAAAAAGCAAAAAATAATAATCGAACCAAACGTGCGCAAATGTTTCACACTAGAATCATATTCCACATCTTTTGATGCCCTCTTTCAAGCGCGACTCAAATGTATGGTGGCCCTGCCTGGGCATGACTCACTGAACCTGGATGGAAACACGGCTTTTGCACGATACTTGGAGCAGCAAGTATCCAGAACTAAGAAAAATCCTGGCTGCAATTATTGGGGAGATTTGCGCGGTCCTCACGAGGCTTGCAGTCAGAACGGGTAAAGAACTCTGCGAAGCTATCACTGGAAAACCAGGGATCGAAGTACTCATGACCATGTTTGGTACACTCAGCGGATAGTAAGTGGTATGAGGAAAATTGACTGGAATAGAAAAATTTGCAAAGGACATTGTCTTCAAACATGACAAGTTTGCGAAGATGTAGTGCAATGCACGCTCTAGTCTTGTGATGCGCCAAACTCCAACCTGAAGAATTTATGCAGCATGAAGTGCTTCACTCAGGCTGGCGTAACAACATGCTTGCTCCACTTTCTCTTTCCTTCAGATGGCCAAATGTTTGTTCTCCTCGCTCCAAGCAGCGAGCGAAGCTACTGTCGGATGATTCTTCAGATCAGCAAGCGTAAAATTTGCATTGAAATCCTTGCGCATTCAAGCAACAAGCTAGAAAGCACGCACGGAGGATAGACCGTGTGCGAATAAATTGGATGAATCCGACGGTGGACGTATATCAGTTTCTCGGCACAAGATCCTAATTAGGTTTAAAGCTGAACTATCTTTCTACATGTGAAGATTCTCACCACCGCAGTCCAACATGGCAGTTTTCTCGCGCAGGAAAACTCTGTCCACCGAATTGGAACTTGGGACAAGTATGTGAAAACCTCCCATTGGACCCGAGGACACTTGTACTTACAAAAACCGTCATCTCCAATGAAACCACGCACAGATAGCAGAGTCACCTAGGAAGATAACATCCCCCGAGCAAGATTCATCAGTTGCTTTAAGCGCCATCGGCCAGTCGCATACGGCACTGTACACATTTTCAACTACTGCTGCTTTCAGTCTTCCACGCACATCATCACCGGTGTTGGGAGCAATGACTTGACAAACAGGAGTGAAGTTCGAGAAGAGCGCATTGTAGCATCACTCACATTCAATATCTTCTTCGATTTCTTCCAAAAAGGGAGATAGGAGTTCTTCGTTATGAACAGGGTGTCGCATGGGCAAAAAAAAGTGCAGCAAGCCCGCTTCGTCGCCCAGGGTGGCAAGTTCAGCCAAGTTATCTCCTTTCCCAGTCACAACGACTGACGTGGGTGAATTCAGCAGCGCAATATATACGCGAGAGGCACATTAGTCAGTTAGTGCTCAAACTTGACTAATGGCAGTGGCAGGAAATGATAGATTCCATCAAGGAGGTGCCCTTTGGGCACTTTCAGGAAATGCTCTGACAAGAGCAACTGCATTCCTAAGCGACATGGCCAAGCCTAACTTGCATTTGCACCGCATCTCAGAAATGTTCGAAATTCCAGTAGCAACGATTGCGGCAACTGAAAAACCCGCGCTGTGGCCTGTCGTAGCGACCGGATTATCACCCAGTTTGAAGCTAGTTCGATCATATATATGCTATAACCTCAAGAAACCAAGCATTAGAATAACTGGACTCTAGACAGTTGGCAGGCCCGTGTCCCAATCGCTGGGACTGTCAGTTATCTTCGGTATCGTCCACAGGTTGGGTGTCTCACCAACCTCTGTCAATAGCTCCTGATAGTACTCGAAAAGTTCTTTCGCAAGCACGTCTGTCTTTACACATTCTAATATCGCATTCCATGCATCTGCGGGATCTCCGCCCAAACCCTCGAAAATCATTGCGGGATCATCGATCGTAGATTCAAGTTCACACACTGAACGCAGCTCATCGACGACCAACGCTAGCTGCCTTCCGTTGTTCACGGCCTTTATCAGGCTGACATCGACGCTCAGTCACTGCTGTAACTTCGTTGTGATTTCGTCTTGAACATTTGGAAGGCTATCATTTAGGATACGCCGCAATTTGGGGAGGGATTCCGCCTAGCTACTGCCAGTGATGGATGACAAGTAGGCAGCAAGTGTACTAATATTCGGTGTGTCGTAAAGCTACGTAACTGGCATCTGGACTCGGTAAGCCCTATTGATTTCTGCTACCAGACTTGGAATCAGTTTCGATTTGAACCCCATGGAGGTAAAAGAGCGACTGTCGTCCAGTTGAGCCCTGGGTAGATGTGCGAATGAATCATCAAGCTAGGCCTCTTCTCCAAATAATTTTTTCATTATTTCAAGCACTAAAGCCTGCGGTTGTGCGTGCTAAGTTTGATCCGGAGATTTGTCCATATTAATACGTATGGGTGCCTGGCGAAACAAGCATGCCAGCGAGTGCCAAAATGGGGATTCTCTTATTTCAGCGAGGATCCTGGCAGTATAAAGCCCGTGTGCAATGGTGCCGCTGAACCCAAAAGCGCTCAAGCGCGAGTGTTTCTCTGGACCCTTGTGCTCTCACCCGACCAGCTAAGCAGGCAGCTGAAGTGACGGTCCCACGAGAATCGAGGACAAGTAAAAATTCAACCTAGTTTAATATCAACGTTTTGAGAAGGTGACTGAAAAGGAGGAATCGTTAGCGAAACCTTCTTAGTTCGGCATTGGCCGCTACCTCGCGCATGGAGATCACGAGAAACACCAAACCGACCGCAGCTGAAGACGCTTCGGAATGACCCATGTTTGACTTCAAAGACGAGCATCGTATTGTTCGCGTCGTCCCTCACTCTGACTTACACAGCACTCCAAAAACAGCGCCAACCTGAAAGAATTCAGTTTTCTAAGTGCACCAGCTGTAGACACAGACTTCAATGGGATCTCCAAGGGCTGTCCCAGTGCCATGCGCTTGATGAGCCTATCCGGAGACACCATTGTCCTACACACCTTCCACCAGTCATTTCTAGGACTATCCATTTGGTGCTGTCAAGCTTGCGCTAGCACCGTTGTGCTAAACTGCAGACCCACGGACCATGAAAATTGTATCGCCTGCCGCGACGATTGATATTAGGAGGGCCCCGCACCCTTCAGCGCGGCAATATCCGTCCGCTCAGTGGTCAAACGTGTGGCATCAACCCAACGGCGATGTCATCATAGCTTCCGACATTGCAAGATTCGCTGCCCAACTGAGGATCTTGGTTCCTATCCCAATGCCGTCTGCGTAATTGTCCCGGACGGAGCCAGCACAGAGATGTAGAGCTGCCAGAGCAGATGCGCATGCAGTATCAATAGAATTGCAGGGGCCAACGAGCCCAAGCGTGTATGACAGTCGTCCTGATGTTACGGACAGCGAGCCGCCAGTCAGCGAAGTCTTTCCCACCTGGTGGCTGTGAAACCCGCTCGCCTCCACGCCAACAAAGACTCCAATATTTTCATGCATCAGGGCGTCTCGCACGGGACGGGCACATCCTGTCAAAAACTTTTGATTTAATGTTGTGTATCCTACGTCGAGGAGCATACTCTGCTGGGGATCCAATGACTACGCCTCGGGAATAGAAATCTAAAAGACGACTCTATCAAGATTCTGCTGAGCAACACTCACAAAAGAACCGTAGGCGGCGGATGATAATCCTGATGCAAGTTTCCATCTTGCAGTAGGAACAAGCGAGTTTGTTGCGAGAGCACGCATCGTCAACTCTTTTAGACCAGAGTTTAATCTCGTTGACCCCGCCAGAGAGAAGCTATGTGATGTAATCACCACAGCTATCTGCTGTTAAAATCCAGAAAAGCTAAACGCTTATGGCACATTTAGTCTTGATTGGCACTCTCATGCACCAAGAGTCTACGCAACCTGAGACCCGTCTTCGTGCGCTGAAAAAATCTGGGCGATGGAAGCAATCGTCGGGTGGTCGAAAAACATCGTCGGTGACATCTCCTTTCCAAACTCGGCGGAAAGATCTGATGTTAGCTCCGTTGCAGCGATCGAGTCCAAACCAGCAGACATGAGCGGTATATTTGAGTCAACTTATGTACCCATGGATCGACTTACCACGGATCACACAATCATGTTGCTATCGCCAAGTAGTCTTTGCGGTGTGTTTATTGTTGTACTACCGTAAGCAGTTTTGGAAACCTACTTCGTATGCTGCTCTGCTCGCACCCCTAGGGGGCCGGGAAATAGCCCCATTGCGTACAAGAATGATTGTTGTCTAGCTCATCAGAATATTACTCTAATGGCAGCGATGCTACCCGAAAAGTATGTCAGAATTGCAATCTCAAGACATCGAGAGCGAACACTCTGGAATCATGATGTCGAAGATGGCTATTTTCCTGGTAATTGGTCTCCCCAACGCCCGGCATGGACAGAAACCTAAGCATTTACTTACACGTCTAGAGTTCGATACCTTTCATGACTGCCTCCCCAAATGGGCCGCAATCCGCCCAGTGTGAGTAATGAACTTCTCAAAGCCCAAGTGCTGAGAAGGGCTCCAAACACATGCTCTTCGACGTGATTTATTAGTTCAAAACCATTTTCAGTATTCCTGAGGTATGTGTTCGCTACAAATGCTCCCTTTGTCATGATTTGAGTTCGCAGACAAGCACCAAAGGGATTGATGGCGGACGACGGATAGCATGCTGACGCGCTACAGCAACTTCAAACGATTTAGCATTGTACGTCTTCGGCATTGGCAAAGGGCCTTCGAGACTAGAGGGTGGTGGCACTCGGTGAACTCAACGAACTCGATGAATTCAGAGGACAGACGTTATGTGTGTTTGATAAGGCTTTGTTTCCAACTGCATACATTGTTTAATGTGCTCATGTCGGGCGTCGGTAAGGATGACACGAAAGATGAATACTGGACTAGCCCCTGGCTAGGTTAACGATGAGATTTCAAGAGTCGCGCAAGTCAACTCGTCATTGCACACGATACAAAGAAGGATCTTGCTATTGCTTCGGGGGTAATTCCGGACGCGCCCAAGAAACAAAAGCTCCGTGCGCGATGGTCCCTGTGGCACCGAAAGAGCTGAGTCAACCAAGAGGCGCTGAAGATAGTGGTGTCGAATCACAAAGCGGGACGAGGTACAGAGCATTTTGGACGAGGGAGATGAGGTGCGGATTCAGATTCCGCACCTGAGTGTTGGCAGCGATGCTGCGAAACTACAGGGACAATGAAGACAGGGCCACTGCCCCAGCGCCGCCTGCCACGGCTTCGAGATGTCCCATGTTTGCTTTGAGTGAGGTGCACGAAACTTCAATTCCTAACTTGCATAGGGCGATAATTGCTGCGCTTACTTCGACGGGGTCCCCAAGCGCAGTTCCCGTGCCGTGTGCCTCAAGGGCGGTAGAGATACGATTGTTTTGTGTGCGAAGTGAGTGTTCAACAGCGACAATAAGCCGCCGCTGCGCAGATCCGTTAGGAGCAGTCAAACTCGCGCTCGGTCCATCGCTTTAGACCCGTGTCCCACCGACTTCGCAGGGACCAAAAACATTGTTATCCACAGTCAACCAGATGGAAACAGACCCCTCTCCACGACAGTACCCGTCTCCTCTGGCATCAAACGAGTGGCATCGACCCCGCTCAGAAAGCATGCCCTAAGCAGCAAAGGCGCGGGTGAAACTAGGTCCAAGCAGTCCAACACCAGAAGCTATGGCATCCGGGCATTCACGATGCGTCAAAGAGCAAGACGCGAGGTGAAGAGCAACGAGTTGTGAAGAACACGCCGTATCAAGGGAAACACAAGGGCCCGTCAGCCCAAGTATGAATGAAGTTTAGCCGCTGGCGAAAGAGGTCTATGCAGCTTGTGCTACACAGGCACCACCAGCCGCATGTTCTACAGGTTACCCAAGGATTCCCACAAACACCCCAACAGCTTGTTCTTTTTTTTGACTGCGCGATGTTACCTTTTGCAGTCTTAGTACCGAGTCTGCCCCTTGAAGAACCACAACAAATTGCGGGTCCTAATTTCGTGCTTGACTGGGGGAAATCTCAAATACTTCTCATTCCAGAGAAAGATCGCCCAGAAGAAATGAACCATAGCTTGCCGGTGAGTCGCGAGAAGCTATGGCCCATCTTGGCAAGGGAACATCAGAAGGCGTCGCCAGGATTCATGTCAGTAGCTCTCGCATCGAGCCCGGATTCGCAATAGCAGCACCGAGTTGAATCGAACATGTTGCTTGGTAGATCCTCCGTCCAAGAATCAGGTTCTCGTGCCTTGCAAGTGAGCAGCGGTTCTCCAACAGACCTGCGTTAGGCATCTGATGCAATGTAGCCCTGGTCGGCGCTTAGACAGTGATTGAGCTTGAAGCAGCTAAACTTTAGGCGATTCTTTCGATGGAAGGGTGGTCAAACACGAGGGCGGCCGAGAGATCAGCGCTAAACACGCCACTCAATACCCGTTGCAGCTCTATTACACCCAGGGAATCGACACCGGCGGCCATCAACGGCACTTCGCTGGATACCTAGGTCCCGAGTACCTTTGCGACGCACATAGCCACCATTGTTCGCGCTTGACACATCTTCATCTTGAAACAAGCAGCTTCGCCCATATGCAGCGATGCCGCCTGGATTTCCTGGCCAACATAGTGAGCTATCCCTGCGATCGAAGGATGATCAAAGAGAAGAGTGGCCGAGAGTACGGCGCTAAACTCTCTGCTCAGTGCCCGCTGCAACTCTGTTGCACCCAAGGAATCGACACCGGCGGCCATCAACGGTGTGTTGCAAGCTACCTGAGTCCCGAGCACTGCAGCAACACAAATGCTGACTTGCAGCAGTAGAGTCTCAAATCTATCATTATTTGATGTGGCCGAAGCAAGTGATAGCTGGTGGGCTGGTGGATTGAAAGCTTCCTGCTGCGATGCCTCTCAGATCGCAGCGGAGTCCCGCAGCGGAGACGCCCTTTGGTTCGCCGTTGACTCCGCAAACAAAACGATCTCAGAGGCGCCATGCGCAGCGTCTCACACGCACTCCATTGCCACGTTAGTTTGTCCAGACATGCTGTTTGCCTGGCTCAGCGCCTACCTTGCTGCAACAAGCTTTGACTCAGCGCACTTCGGTGTCACTCAATCTACCAATCCAAAAATTTCCGCCTGCTCACTCGAGATAACCCCATCTTCTAAATACATCAGAAAAGCTGTAGAGCGTCCTACCATTACTCACAACGCACGGCTAAGCATGAAAAGAGGATTCACGCCGCGCGGCAAATTACCAAAATTGAGCGTTGTTTTCCTACTGCAAGCACGCCAATCTGCCACAAGAGCAAACGCGACGCCACCTCCCAGCAATTTGCCATGGATTGAGGCATATGTTGGCATCATGATCATTCAAATGTCTCTTGTGATAGCACTGTGTCCTTGCAACATCGCGAGCGTACCGTACTCGTGCTCCTCGTGCCGTCCTCCAGTGCAGAAGTGGGAACCAGCACCCTGGAATACATTCGCACTCACCTGCTTGCAACAAACTAGGTAGTCGAGCGCTTTCACGACTAGTCTCAAGTCGTCCAGCATGCTGCGACGCTAGGCATTAAAACAACAAGGGTCGTTGAGTTCCATGGTGGCCAAGACTGAAACTGTCAGACGCACCACCCGCAACCGCACGTGTCAAACCGGCAAAGCTGAGCTTCCAGGTGGTGTTGTGTGTCGCTCGGTTGTGGCCAAGACTGCTTCTGCATACGAAGTGAAGCCCAGCAGCACTTTCCGGTCTTGGGAGTGAACTGCATCAGAAACTAATCATCACAACACCGACACAAGGAGATCTGCACCAGCACGAAGCCTGCAGACACGAGACAGGAAGAGCATATCAGAGGCTCCAAGCAGCGGTAGCATTTCACAACAGGGTGTGTTGGCGGCGAATAAAAGTATCATCGGCAACTCGCAACGGCAAAAAGCAAGACCAAGGTCGTACATTAGGACCCTTTTAACGCCTCCAGTAAAAGCGCCGCGAATCGAGTGTTGACGTAACCGAGGCTGTATGAGGTGAAGAATTGCATCGACAGCGAAGGAGTCAAATTCACGAACGGAAAACAGAGTGTTCAGTGCAAACATTTGCACATCAATCTGTGCCGGACTTGGTCAGACTCCCTGCCCACGTTGATGATCTGGCATGTTTCTCAAGCGATCTGAGACCATTGTTAACATTGCCAAATTGCCCTCGGGCTCTCAAGTTGTGCAAGTAAC